TCTATTATGTGTGACTTGCTTTCTGTTAAATCAGGGTCTGTCATTGCATTTTATCTTGTGCTTTTTTTTTTTTTTTTTGACTCAGCTCACAAGGTACTTTATCTGCTGCTCTCACCTGCAAGAAATGACACTTCAGCTCAGGAAGAGATAAATCAGCTCCTCCTTTTAAATTTATTCATGCTTCAGCAAAGGAAGGAAGGTCTGTGCAGCTCCAGCAATTGCTCTGGCCGGCTGGGTCTCTCTCTCCCTCTCTCCTCCTCCCCCCCATCCCTCCCTCTCTCTCTCCTCCTGCCTGAAGAAGGGAGCGAGGGCTGCGACTGGCGGAGGAGGCTTGCGAGAGGGTTAATGCTCTCCGCCAGGCAGGGAAGGTTAGCAGAGGGATCAATGTGATTAAGGCGGTAGGAGAGGAAAGATGCGCCTGCTGCCTGGCTGCGGTGGCTGAAGGGTGGTGCGCGGGGAGCCGCCTGCCTGCTTGCCGCAGAGAAAGGGCCGGATATGACCAGGAACGGTCCTCTGCCTTTGCTGGAGGGCGGCTTCACCTGTGGACCTGCTCCTGCCAACCTGCCAGCCTCTACCTGGGCCAGGAAGGAGGACCCACCTGAGGTGCCCGCGGCCGCCTCCCTTTCGCCCCGAGCTGCATCTCCGTGCCAGAGAAAGGCAGAGTCCGCGGCGAAGAGACGCTGAAGGCGAGGCGGGCAGCGCGTTGGCTGGAAGGGCACCGAGGCAGGAGCAGGGCTGGTCCCCTCTTGGCTGGCTGCGGGAGAGGAAGCGGGCGGCGAGCGGAGCCCAGACGTGGCTGGGAGGCGAGCAAGGCGCAGGGCATGTGGAGGCTGGCCGCCCTCTTGTTCCAGAGCATCTTGAATGGTGAGCCGGCGGGTCGGGCGGACTTCGGGGGGCCGGTGGGCGAAGGGCGGGGAGTTGCGGAGAGACTGGCGCGTTGACCGAATCGCTTCTCGTTTCTCTTCAAGCCTTGTGACCAGCTCCGGGACGACGAAGACAAAAATTGCTCTCTAATAATCGAAATTAGCTTACTTAGCAAAGTGGCAGCCCTCATTTTAAAGTCTCTCTAGTTGCTGGGTGACCTGCATAATTGTATGATTCGTATGGCAAAGGTCTTCCAAACATACCGCTCAAAATGTGATGCCACAATTATTTTTAGCTGAAGACAATGCATTTTATTGGCTTCCATGTTTCAACGGGGGCTATGTTTAACATGTCTCAAAAAGAAATGGTTATTAGAATATGAACTGTTGCATTTTTCCTTTTTAGGAGACATGCTTAAAGAGTAAATTTCAAAGTATTGAAGAAAGCTTTGTCATAGGATTATTAAAAATTAAAGTTAGAATAAATTGACAATATTCTGGTTTTAATTTTCACACTGTGCAATGCTTTGGGCATCATAAGAACAGTTAATAATTTTCCACGAAGCTGCTCCCACAGACCCATTTATCATAAAAAAGGTAAGGAATTGGAGTGGACCTTGGTAAAATAATTGCTATTAACAGAGTCCAAGAGCTCATTCAAATGTCAAAGTATTAAAAAGTAGTCCATATCTGACTACTTCTGAACGTCAGACCTGCACCAATTTCCAGTTGCCTGAGAGAAGATTGGATTTCATATAGTATCCCAGTTCTTATGTGGGAAATGTTCCAAGTGTTTCTTGTCTACATTAAAAATGGGTGAAGGACTGATATGCAAGAGCATTGATGGATTATTTTAGCCATTAAACTCTTAAATATAATTTTAATAATTTTGTAAATTTAGTGCAATTTTTGCAAATATTTGCTTTTTAGAAATATACACTATATAGAGATATTACAACAAATTATTTGTGATAAAAAGTCAAATATAAAGCTTAATACATTTTTAATGCCATATGTAGGCTAAAACAAGTTCCTGAATATAAATTCAGATATATAAGCAATAATAGGAAGGGTGGGGTTAAGTATATGGGAAGAGAGTGAAGTGGAGTGAAGAGTGCGGATGAAGGTGGGGCAAAAGGAGGGTTCAGGTAGATACTAAAATGGGGAAAGAAAAAGTCATTAATGGGGTTTAGTTCCCTTTTATCTTTTGGCAGAATGGGAGTGTCTGAATCTCTCAAATTGTGGATAATATTTATGTCCATTTTTCCCCAGAGTATAATATTTTGCTGATTTTTTTTTTTTTTTTTTTTGCTGCTGTGGAAAGATAACCTATCATAATTGTTAAGGATAAGCCAGTTTCTCAACAGTGGCCTACCTATAAGTCATGTTAAAGCCACCTATTAGCTCATTAGATTTTTGTTTCCCTCTACCATGGATACTATGAAAGTTGAGATTAGAAACTCACTTTCATTAATTACCTTTTGTGTCAAGCTCCCTGAATGTCTCTTCTTTGTGTATCACTGAACATAAAACTAAACCTAACACAGCTCCTTATGCCTTTGAAGATCAAACCAGCTGCTTGATTCTATAAGAGGGTGTGCGTATGTGTGCAACTGAATAAATCTGACTGTGATTCACAGTTCTTGCAGAAAGGGGCTAATTATTTTCCCTGCACTGTTTTTTTTATTAAAACTGCCTCTTCTCCAAATTTTGTCAACCCAGACAAAGCAAATAGATACACCCTTTAATTATTGCTTCATCCTTTTCAGGCTTATTTCCATTTTAAATGTCTTGCACAGGACGTTTTAGAAAATCTTCCAGTCTGGTGCCTATATATATATATATATGGTGCCTATATATATGTGTGTGTGTGTGTGTGTGTGTGTATGTGTATGTGTATGTGTATGTATATGTATATGTATATGTATATGTATATGTATATATATATAGTGTGTGCATATATATAGTGTGTGTGCATATATATATAGTGTGTGTGCATATATATATATGCACACACACAGTATATACACACATATATACACGTATACACATACACACACACACACACACACACACATATATACACACAGTATATACACAGAACAGTTGCCAGAATTCCCAGCTAGCATGCCCTTTTCCAACCAAAGTGGCTAAGAATTCTGAAAATGGTTTCTTAACATATTCAGAGAATGTCTGTAGAACAGGGGTGTCAAACTCAAGGCCTGGAGGCTGGATCCTACCCACGGGGTGCTTAGATCTGGCCTGCGGGCAGCCCTCCCAAACTATGTTTTCATTGGCAGTGGGTTGCAGAGGGCTGTCGCAGCCAAAAACGGAGCTCGGGAGCCCATTTCCACTGGCAGAGAGATCGAGCCACTCCAGGTGCCCCCAACACAAGTGATGTTAAGCTGGCCACGCACACCCTGGCCACCCCCACTCCATCCCCCCCCAGGTCAAACACAATCCTGATGTGGCCCTCAAGGAAATCGAGTTTAACACCCCTGCTGTAGATATATACACATGCACACAGCAAAAAACAACAACAAAAAAAATGCTCATGAGGTCATTATGATTTATTTAATTTGTATATTGCTGAGACAGTACACATTCTGTGTTTTGCAAAATGATCAACAGCTTAGAACAATGAAAAGTCATAGTAAATATAAATGCAAATAAATATAAATAGTAAAAATGACTATTCAAAGTTATAATACTAGAAGGATAAATTAAATTAATAGCAATCATAAAAAATAAAAAACCTGGATTTGATCAAGAATTAAACTAATATTAATAATTTGCAGGGAATTATGTTGTCAGTAAAGAACATCTGCTTGGAGAACATGGATGCAGCAAGTTTTACTTCTAAGGGGAAAGTATTCTATGAGTCTAGATCTACAGCTGTGAAACAGCACCTGCTGACCTTTGCTTCCTTTGCTTTATGGAAATAGGGTATACCCGTTTTTGTTCCAACAAGGATGTATTGGATGAGGAGATTCAGGTAGGAGATGATGGTCTGCAAGCACCTAGCCACTGAGCAAAATACAGCTTTTGAGGTCAAAAACAGCATTTGTAATTGAGCCCATAAACATATTGATAACTAATGTAGCCCCCAAAGCATAAGTGAAAATGCTTTTATGGATAATACCTGAGAGTAACCAGGCCACTATATTTTGCACCAACTGTTGTTTCTGGGTGGTCTTTAAGGTACCTCAAGTACTGCAGAAGTCTAGCCAAAAGTGATGAAAGCACAAGTCACCATTGTGACCACCTTAATTAATCAAGGTCTGTTGCTGCTGTTTGCTTCTCCTATCCTTTTCCCCATCTTTTTTGGTATTACTTGTAAGAAATTTAGCATTTTAGGAAAATTATGTAGAACAACTCTCCTATCAATACCCTCAAGAGGTATTGGAATTTGCAATTCTGCTGGCTAGAAATGAGAGTTGTGGTCTTCACTCATCTGGGGAGTGCCATGTTGAAAAATGATGTTTTAAAACAACAGTAATATATATTTACACATGGTTTATTTTTCTTGTACTTTTTTCAATAAATGAGATTTGCCATATTGGCTTCAAGTCTACTTTGATAATTATTGTAGTAAAGAAGTTCTAGAATCATATAAACAGATAAATCATATATAATAAAATGAAATAGGAGCTACTTTTTCACCAATATCTGTTTCAACAGATAGTCTTGTTGTGAAATAAAGTCGTGCAAAATATTGCAATTCTTTTTATCTTTTACATAAAGCCTTCATCTATATACATTAATCTACATATGCATAGACACCTTTTTTCTTTATTGTTGCCTTTGCTGTACCTAGATTGGGGCAAATTTATCAGGCAATTAGAAAAAGGCCTGGACTAATCTGAATGCTAATGAAATAGATTAAATTCTTCGTTAGAAAATAAACCATTCCCTCATATGCCCACCAAGCAAATAATTAAAATAATATCATAAGTATCCATTGCCTTTCAATGTTAAGCACAGGGCATTTGATGACAATCAACCCTTTTTCCTTGGAATTTTCACTATGCATCTGCCTCAAAGAATTCATCTGAAAAATCTCTCTTGCAATTATTCTGTCAAATGGTCCATTGGTATCTTATACAGAATGAACTGGAAGAGTCCTTTTGAAAAATGTAGTGTTGAGATGTCCAGGTTTATTAAATCCAATCACCTGAAAATAAGCCATCTGTTACACAAAGCCTGTCTTCTTCTTTTGTTTAAAAACAAATTGCAACCAATTGTCATATGTACCTATTAAATTATATACAGGTTTTACCCTTAGTGCAAAAACATACCTTTCCAAAATATGCATCAAACTATATTTAGGCTATATTCTTGGGCCTGTATCCCAGTAGAAAACAGCATATAATAAATCTTGGTTGATTTTGAAAAGTAAGCAGGATTCGACTTGGGTAGTACTTGGCTGGAAGACCACTAGGGAGACTACCCAGAGTGATAAAATAGACTGGAAAAAATTTAAAAATCCTGACTGAAGAAAATAAACTCCTCCTACAGCATTACAAAGACAATATGGACTTGTCCACATAGTCATCAAACATCATGGTCAACTCAAGGACATTTTAAGAATACTGCAGGATCAGACTATAGGTCCATACAGTCCAAAATACTTTATTTCAGACTAATCTATTAGATGCATTTAGGAAGTTCAGGCACTGTGACTAAAAAGTAATAGGCACCCCTTTCGGTTTTTCCCAGTAACTGATATTTAAGATACTCAGAAGAATTAAAGTGTTAGCAGTAGCTACTAATATTCTGATTCCTTATGAACCTGTCCAATATCTTTTAAGAATTATCCAAATTGGCTACCATTTCAGTAATCACTGACACCATATTCTATATCAGGGATGTCAAACATGCGTCATCGTGGCATCATGTGACGTATTGGAACTTTCTCCCCCTTCACTAAACCGGGCAGGGGCGGGGCCAGCATGTGACGCATCTGGCCTGTGAGTTTGACACCTCTGTTCTATATTATAACTACATTCTGCATAAAAAGATTTCTTTATGCAGCATTTATTTTCAATGGATGACCTTCAGTTTTAAGAGAGGGTGGAAAGAGTATTTTCATATGGCCTGTGCCATGTCTATCCTTACCTTCTGATACTCCATATTTATTGTCATTGCTTACTCACTTCCAATTCTTCCTGACCTGATGGACATCATTTTGCTAGGCTTGCATTTCAGTAACTGCATTGAGTTCTCATAAGTCTGTGTTTGTTCATCTGAGCATATAGCCTCTTTTTCAATTCTCTTTTCTTTTTCTAAACATCAAGATCTTCTCCAATTATTCTTGTTTTGGGCAGTACTTACATTGTGGTTATGTTTTCATGTGGAGTATTTACTATTTTTTGCATGTTTTGTGGATATTTTCATTCAGCTGTCTACTCTAACTCCCTCTTACTCTACTACTGTGAGCTAAGATCCCATTATGACATTGTGCCAATGTGAAGTACCAGTTTATACTGAACTAGAGTTGTTACTTTGAACCCAACCTGTAGATACCTTTTTGGAGGACTTCACAATCCTTTTTTGATTTGACCTGTTGGATACCATCAACAGATATGTATGTATGTATATTAGTTATAGGAGAATATTTTGACATCTCCCCTTGGTAAGAATTGTCTATTCTTATTCTGTTTTTGAACCAGTTGCCAATGTATAAAGTTGAAATATAGTTTGCAAGGAAAGAAAGGTAAGGAGAGAAATTATGGTTCAAACAGCAGTGGACTTGATTAGAGTTAAAGCCTCATCTATTTTCTCCCATTGTCTAATTCTTCTCAGTCACTTTATCTTAGCATACCATCTTAAAATCATGTTTAATTTTAACATGCTTACTGGGCAGTTACATTAATGTTTCTTTTGTAACATGTTTTGGGAATAAGCAAGTATTTATTTCCTAAAATCTTTGTTTTGTCCCAAGTAAAATCTACCTCCTTGAAATCCTTTGAGAATGGCTTATGAGGTCAAATGCTTTGTGATGTAATTGCAAGTAGGATATCACACTTATAGTTGCATTTAACTATCTGCACTTCCATACTTAAATGAAGCGTACATAGATATAAATCGCTGAGAAACAATAGTGTGAAAAGGCTGCTGCTTTCCTACCACATGTTCAGGCTTCCAATGCCATCTGGTTGCTTATTCTCGGGAGGAAAAAGTTAGGATTAGATAGACATCTGGGATGTGAGGTTTGTTTTTTTTTTCTTAAATTCCAATGTAAGATTCTTAGTCCTTGAATAAAATTTGTGTCAAGCAATGATTCACTTTCTGCACTTTTTCCAGCATGCGGTAAGAAATGCTTCATTGACTAGATTTTCAAAATGTGTTATGCAGAATTGACAGGGCAAATAGCTCTAGATTCCAAAACACTTGGGAATTTGGGAATAAAGTCCTCATTTACTCATAAATGACTATGATGTCCACAGCAATTTTATTTTTCATGCTAAAATCTTATATCTCTATCACCTGCATAACACTGCATTTGTTTAAAAGTTTTTATTATGTGTGTATCTATGTTAAAGCTACTGAAATGTACATGGAAAAGAATGACCTGCCTTATACTGTCCTTCTGGTAGATTTCTGTTCCAGCTGTGCTGTTTATGAATACACTGATTAAAGCTGTCAAAATGGCTGCTGTATGAACTCAAATGGCTGCTCCTATTACTGCTACAACTCTGATTGTTTGCTTATAGCAGCCCTATAGATGGTATTATTATTCCCTTGAGCAAAGGTATTTTACAAGATGATCATAGGTAATAGTGTGCTCTGAATGCCTCCCTTGACAACCATTAGCCTTTTTGTCCCACCCGATAAATAAATAGGAAATTGACATGCTACAAAATGCCAGTGCCTAACACAATTTTTATTGATGACAGTACGGTAAAGTAGAAATAATTGATGTTTTTTTTCTGCTTGGAAAGTAATACAGATGTAAGCTGTTGTAATAGACAGCATTCTCGGGACATGTGGATAAGGGAGACCAAATTCAACAATCCGCCTTCTTCCAATTGGGTGTCCTATGACTGGCCACGCCCACTATGACAAAGATTCGTAAATATCCCCAAGGTTATGCTTTCGTGCTATAGCAGATTTTTGTGATGTCTTTCTACTGAGACAAAGTCTCGCAAGATGAAATAAATCCTCACCTTCGGTAAGTATCTTTTTCAGTGATATGCTGAAGCCAAGGATTTAAAAAATGGTAGATTAGAGAATCTGCATTTGTTCCACGTACTTAACATGATCAATGACAGCCTCACATATCATTCAAGCTAGACAATTTTAGGAAAATGAAAACTATTTCATCCTTTTTCATGCAGAATTTAATCAATGTTTATCTTTCTTTAATTAAGAATTATAGTCACCTCCACATAATCTTCTCTTCCAGTTACTGCCACAGAGATAAAATGGTTTACTAGATTCCCACAATTTGCAGGAGTCTGGACTAGATGACCTATGTCAGTGTTTCTCAACCTTGGCCGCTGGACGATGTGTGGATTTCAACTCCCAGAATTCTGGGAGTTGAAGTCCACACATCGTCCAGCGGTCAAGGTTGAGAAACACTGACATAGGTCATCTCCGCCCACTCATACATTTTAAGGTGGTATGCTAAGATCCAGAAAATCAAGGATGTTCTGAGTACTATGGAGTTTCTTGTTTTTTTCTTTTTGTTTGTATAGTTTGCATGAGTTGCAGCTGAATATGTCACACTGAAGGAAGAAATCTCCTTCTGGGTTCTGCTCCAAGTGGGGAAAAAGACACTGGAAACATGGAGACTGCTTGGAAATATGGTTTAATGGTGGACAGGATCACATGACTTGAGTTCCTGAACAGAAAAGGGCAGATACAGTAAATCCTCGGGTTTTTATGCCCTCTCTGGCTTTGCATTTCCTGGAGTCCTGAAACAGTATCCTGATTGGTTGTCAGACTCCCAGGGGGTCTTAGCTAGCCTTGCTGGCTGATGGTCACATGTGCTTCCCAGGTCACATGCTTCCCAGGTCACATGTGGTGAGTTTCTGCTGCTATGGTGTAGAGGGCTAATCCTATCTTTGTTGGATCTTTGACAATTCCTACTATGGCTCTGCCTGAAGGAGGTAGATTTTTGTTATGTAGAATAGACTGGCCCAGGCCTTAATGGCCCATTGACAAAGGGTGGGGGCAGGAAGATGGGAGCTGCTTCAAAACATGCTTATCCATTTCTCATCCAGGGAAATATAATATTCTGCCTTTTTCATATTTCCTAAAATATTTCACTCTTCCAGGAAAGGGGTGGGTGCTAACCTTCTACAACACAAAGCTGTCAGAGAGAAAGTAGGATAACTTAGAAAAAATGGGCTGGACAAGAAATGATGGTGGTGGATAAAAGGTTGATAAAACCTGAATAACATAAAAATAAGCAGGATGGAAACTGAGTGTTTTCCTTTACACTCACTGTAAACAAATGTAGTATCTTTATCATAATGTTCAAAAAACTCTTCACTTTTGCTTGGGGGGAGGGGAAAATTGCTACTTTTTCCACGGTGACCTCCTTTTTAATAGCAGCATACAGTACTATGTCACTTAAGCTGAGAAAATTGCCTGACTAACTGAGACTCAGGGTATTTGCTGCAAAGAGAGGTGACAAATGCCCAAAAATCTTTTTGCATAGAAATTCTATATTGAAGGCAACAGATACAGCAATAAAAAACAGACACACCTTCCCTGAAAAAGCCATTCAGCATATTTTTCTCATATTCTTTCTTCAGACTTGCTGCCTGCATTGGATACTAGGCCTGTTAGCTTGTAATTTTAAAAATGCTTAGGCAGTTGGTATTGTTGGAAGCATTTGATAGGCCGAGAGATGGTGCCTGGGAATTTTTTCCCCTACATAGAATGTAGGCATAGAATGGAGCTTAGTAAATTTTTGGTAATTCAGAGATGAGGATTAGCTGGCTTGGCAAGTGAGGCCAAGCACATCAAGTATTGAGAATCAGAAGGAAAAGAGAAAGGTTTGAAATCCCTAGCTCTGAATATTTGACTTAAATAAAATATTACTCAACCATCCAAACCATCAAAGGTATAGATAAAACACTTACCTGTTGATAACCTTGAAATGTATAGATTTATTACTGCACAAATCTATTTTTTAAAAATATATCAACACACGAAGGCAGAAAAACTCATGCAAGTCATAAAGTTGTCTATTGTGCAAATAACATCTGAAGTGTGTATTAAAGAGGCTGACTAGTACGTAGGATTGAAAGATGCCAAATGAATGAACTGTGACATACAGTACATAGTTAAGCTGGACCCTAGCCCAAAGTTTGCTAAGAAGGAAGAAAAAGATCAAAGTAGTGTAAAAAAAATCTTAATAAATAAGCAAAGAGAGCTGGTAGTGACATGCTGAAAGTCAAATGATATATGTGATCTTCCACAAACTTTTTGTTCCAAAAATCAACATTCTAGTGTAGATCTCAAGTAAATAGTAGGTCTATTTTCCAACCTGAACTCGCATCCTCTTCCCCAATAACAAAACTTTCTGGTTGTCTACCTTACTCTCGAGATGATTTTTTTTCTTGTTATGACCCTGTAATTCCTTGCTTCAGGGTGGGGTTAGGGTGACTGAGTGGAGCTGAGCATTTACTGGCTGGATGCCCTTTCTGACACCTATGCAGCTTGCAGTAAATATTTTCTGTTTGTGCCCTGTTAGGGAAACATCTGTTGCTGCTTAGGATTGAACTCTCAACCTTCTGAGTGGCCACCATGCTGCTCCTCAAGATAATATAGATTATCGTTTGCTAATTTTGTTACTAAGCTTCCATGAGCTGGTACAGCTTGCTGGGACTGATGGTTGTTTCCTATTGCAGCTTTCTTCATACTTCTCCTGCCCGTGTTTCTTAATTTTAAAAAAGGGGTTATTGTTATAATGGAGTGCTTTCAGTGATGGAATCACACATGGAGAGCCAAGTTCAGATCCAAACTTAATCAAGGACACGCACTGAGTGACTTGAGTAATTGCTGTCTCTCAGCTTAACCTCTCTCCCACAGAGCAAAAGGGGACCATCTAGAACACATTCCTCCAATTTTTTCCTATAACAACAATCCTAAGAGGTAGATTGGGCGTGGTGGGAATGCTCAAAAGCAAAAAGTTTTTGGCAGCAAATGAGCTGGTTAGAAGAGATGTTAATGTTCAAAATAGAAGTCAAGCCGGAATTTTTCTTACTGGGCATTACAGATGGCAAATATGACAAAAATGTATCCTATTTAATATTGCATATACTTACTGTGGCAAGACTAGCATTTGCTCAAAAATGGAAGTGTAAAGAAATACCCTCAGAAGAAGTAATACACAAAATTTACAGCTGTGCAGAGATGGACAGACTTACTTTAGAACTCAAAGACAAAAGTGAATCAACATACTATGTAGTCTGGAATAAATTTTATAATTGGTTAGATAAGAGGAAGAATTCCAGAAACAAGAGATAATGAATGTCTGGAAATGTATATATCAATGTATATCAATATATCAAGCTATATTGTATTTGTGAATGTCATAAGGGGTTTACTAAATATAAGTATAGCTGTTTAGGAAGTAAAATACTGTATACTTGATATATAATGAAACAGGAGATATGTAAATTTGTATTTAGATTAAGGAATATATTACTTATTAACTTGAATTTGATGCAAATGTTAGAAACCAGAGACGTAGAGCAATGTCCATTGTTTTACTTTTAAAACTAATACAATATTTATTTAAAAAAAGAGAGCTAGATTGGGCAAAGTCAGGGGTCTGCAATCTTAAATACTCAGAGCCATTTGGACCTGTTTCCCACAGAAAACACCGAGAACCACAAACTCTGGGTGGGCGTGGCCAACTCAATGTCACTCACTTCTACCCAGTCACATGAATCCCAGCCAAGCATAGCCAGGTTTTGTGTTTTCTGTGGGAAACAGGTATCTCTCTCTCTGTCTCTCTCTTTCTGTTTCTCTCTCTCTCCCTCCCTCCCTCCCTCCCTCCCTCTCTCTCTCTCTCTCTCTTGTGTTCCCCCTTGAACCATTTCCAAAAACAGGTGAGGGTTGGTGGGGTTTTTTTCCCCTCTGATGTTGTTCTTTCTTCTTCTTTGGGTACTTTTTACCATATGATTTAAATCAAGAGTCATTTCAGGTTCCCAGATAAATGAAGCTCTTTCATCCCCCTGCTGTGGCTCCCTGTTGGCTGAACCCACTACTGGCTGGCCCCACCCCTCGCCCTCCCCTCCCAGTCACTCTTCGCCTGGCCTGAAAAGGTAAGGGTGAAGGCGGGGGATGGAGACTTGCTCCATATTCCGGAGCGGGAGCGAAGCACCCTTGTACTTGCCTCATCTTGCGGGTGCTTCTTCCAGCCCTTGTTGGTACTGCGCGCACCTTGGTTGCTCAGGGAGACGCGCGATTTGCTCTCCACCCTGAGACACTGACCCAGCTGAGGCTGAGGCTTTGTGTCATAATGGGCTCCAGGAGGAGGAGGGGACGCCATCTCCCCCATTGTGAAGCACACTAAATTTAACTGTGCTGCCGGTGGTGGGTTCAGCTGGCAGGGAGCCACAGCAGTGGGACGAAAGAGCCGCATGTGGCTCCAGAACCGCTGGTTGCCAACCCCAGTTAAGTGAAAGTCACTTGGCTGCTATAGTTCAGAGTACTTTGATAGCATTCTATTATACAGCTGGAGTATTCTACTAGATGCAGAGGGCAACCTAGTTTCCCACAGGAAGATTGTTTTCCATAGAAGGAGAGAAGAACCACTACTGAGCTGGCAGATTTATCTTTTAAAAAATGGACTTGTGAAGAGGAGGAGGCACTTTTAGGAGGCAGGATAGAGTGTAATGAATGGCAAAACCATGATGGATTTTAATCAGCTTGGTTACTGAAGCTTGTTGGTTTTAGAGAAATGTGTAGATCAGGGGTATCAAACTCAATTTCATTGAGAGCTGCATCAGCATTATGGTTGCCCTCAAAGGGCCAGCTGCATGTAAGACTATGATGACTCACAGCGGCCAGGCTGTGTATATAGTATATAGTATATATAGTATATAGTAGGCATGGCTGGGTGCTCGCAGCCAGGTTGCTGAGACTAGGTGGGTGTGGCCGGCTCTATGCTGCTCACTGGGCACTACTGACTCAGGACAGCTGGGTCAGGATGGAACAAGTTGCACCAGCTAACTCGACATGGGGACAATTCGGTGCCCCACAAGCTCCTCGCTTCCCCAAACTGCTGGCAGCTAAGCTCAGGCATGCATAAGCGCGCACGCGCACACACACACACACACACAGCATTCTAAGTTTGAGGACTTCTATCCACAGAGGAAGGAGAGGGCCTTCTCCCCAAGCCCAGGCATACGATTGGCAGTTTGCAAGCTCAGATGTGGATAAAAGTCTCCAAGCTTGGAATGGTTGTGTGTGTCTGCATGTACAGTATTCCAAAGGAGACGTTCTTCTCCCAACCCCAGACATCATTGGCCTTTCCCTGTCTGGTACCCCCTCACAGAAAAGCAGGAGGCAGAGGACAACACTGCTGCATGTGGAAGCATGAAACAGAAAGTTTGCAAGTAGTAGTTTCTTCAGAGTCCAACTTCTGCCGTGACAAAGGAAGGTGAGACCAGAGTGAGCGCCAAAGCCTTGCCCACCAGAGAAGCCTCGCTGTCCCAGTCAGGCCACAAGGAGGACCCCCAGATGGTGGCATGGGCTGCCTGGAGCCCTGGGCAGTGTAGAGCAAGTACCCAGCCTGGCTGTCAAGCTCCCGGGGCACCAGGACCCCCGCAGCCCAGCCCTGCCTTGTTTCCCTGAGGGAGCATCCAGTCATGCTTACCTCCTCTTCGAGGCTGCTGCTGCTGTGCTCGCTCTCCTTAGGCC